CACTTGGAGAATGAATCAATGGATGGAAGATCTTCCTCTCCATCTCTCCCCTCTGTATATCTGACTTTCTAATAAAATAAGTAAATAAAACTTAAAAAATGAGAGAGAGAGAAGAAGCTGTTATCATACCTTGCTTGAAGTACCTAAATTTGATTCTTCTACTACAGACTATGAAAGGCAGTAGTGATGTTCATGGCTTGAACTGTGTGCTGAGCTAGCATTGGCTCAGCTCAGACTCAGCTACTCGGGGCATTTGGGGAGTGAACCCATGTAGCACAGTTCTCTTGCTGTTAAACACTACTAATAAAAAAATGGTTCTTGCCATGACATTCAATACCCTGGAGTTTGTCCTTCTTCCCCTCTCTTTACAATATCCTATCATATTCTACCATCATGCATTGCTTTTCAGTCATCAGCCTTCTTGCATTCCCTCTGACAAAGCAGCCCCCATGTAATGCACTAGCATCTTCTCTACCTAGCAGATCTTTCTCCAAGAGAGCCACTGGTCTAACTTCCACAGCTCCACCAAGTTTTGGCTCACCTGTCACCTCTTTAGCAAGTGTATTCTGCCCTCCCTACTGCATACCATAACCACCTTACCATCTAGGCCTGATCTTCCCTTTTCTATGCTTTTGTTTTTATTTCCATGTCCCTTACCCACCATTACAGAACCATGTAATATATACTCACATACTTCACTCTCTACTCACTAGACTGCCAGCTCCCTGTAGGAAGGCTTCTTGGTCTTGCCCATGGATGTGTCGCAAGTGCCTCAAGCAGACAAGGTGTAAAATAGGTCCTTAGTAAATATTTTCTAAGTCAATGAACAAATAAGTATATCAGTAACATGGGTCTGAGTCAATACTGAATGTTAATAATTTCACCTCGGAACATTTTTAGGACCTGTTCCTTCTGCTCTGTACCTGCTTCTATCCCAACAATATTTCTGCTATTTCATAAACCTAAGTTTTTGAAGCTTGCTGACTCTGCACTTGCCCCTGGTATCCAGCTGGTATGTCCACTCTCTGCCACACAGCATTGCTTGTGACACTTCCATGCCCACGCCTTTGCCAACAATGCATATCTGCACCCCAAAAACCTGCCTCCTGCCAATTCTTGTACCATTCAGTCCAGTTCACTTCTCATGTTCTCAGCTCAAGATTCCTCAACATTCCAACCCACCAGGTCTTCCCTATCATAGCACCATAGTGTAGGGTCTACTACAATTTCAGTGTGTATCCCCAAGTTCGTGTGTTGGAACCATGAAAGCAACAATGTTGAGAGGCGAGACTTTGAGGTGATGATGTCACAAGGACTCTGTCCTTATGATAGATGGATGACATGAGGGTGGAAGTGCACACGGTATCATGAAAGAGGCCTGTAAAAGTGAGCCCAGCCCTCTCCTGTTCTTACTCTCTTGCCGTGTGATGTCTTCTACTACTCAAATGTGGTCCCTAGATCTTGAACTTGCAAGCCTCCAAAAGTTTGGGTCAAATAAACTTCTCACATTGAGAAGGTGCATTTCACCTATGCCAATCTGTTGTAACAAAAGACAATGGACCAATTCAGACCTGCATTTAAATACCACCTAGCCCCATCTGCCTCCTGGATGCCCTGGGTATGGGGGTGGGAACCTTTCTTCTGCCAAGGATCATTCGGATACCTGTAATGTCATCTGCAGGTCATACAACATTACAAACTTAAAAATTAGCCTACTATATGTAGACTTATTGAATTTCAAGCACCGCCACCCTCCCACCCCCGGAGTTGCTTAGACAGGGCCAGCCCACATGACTCTGCAGGCGTCCTGTAGCCCATGGGCTGGACGTTTCCCATCCACCTCTTAGAATATGATTTTGCTATATGCTTATAACTCATGACCATTGCATAAAATTTCTGTGGATAATAAGCCTGAAAAAAGGTAATATTTAATTTAAATGTGGAACTGACAGATGTCTTTTCCCTTCAACTATAAGTTGCTGAAAGCACAACTTCTGAAAGTTCTTTGTACAAGTTTCCTTAGAAAATCCACATGGTTTTAATTCCATCCTTCCAAGAGATTTCTGAAGCCCCTTCAGATACCCCAGTCTCTGAATATCCCTTCAGATATTCACAGTCTCACTAATGTTGGGCACATGAGCAGAGTAGAGCAAATGCTCCTGGGCAGCTGAATGATTTCGAATCCCAAACAGGGAGAGAAAGTCAGGAATGCTAAGTGACTTTCTTGAAGGTACCAAGACCAAAAGAATGTAATATCACTGGCAAAAAAACAAGGCTAAAAACCAGAATAAAAGTATCAAAGGATGAATTTCTAGTTAGTCCTTATCAGCTCTCATCGATATTGCCAGCAATTTGAAAACGGACACTACTCATAATCATGAGTTGGACAGCCATTCTTCTCTCCTTCAAAGAGGTCAGAAATGGAGCTCTTCAGTACAATAGTGCCAGTAAATCCATTTCCTATTGGGGTAGAATGGCCCAAAATCTTTGATCAAGGATACCTAGACTATAATTGGTCCCCAAGTTACAACGGTTCAACTTCACAACTTTTCAACTTTACAACAGTGTGGAAGGGCGCCCATACAATCATTCTGCTTGTCACTTCCAGTACTGCATTCAGTAAATTACATAAGCCACTGAATAGTTTATTTGTAAAGTAGGTTTGTTTTAGATGACATTGTCCAGCGATGAGCTAACGTGAGTGCTCTGAACACATTTAAGGAATGACGCTCTTTAGGTTAGGTATGGTAAAGGCATTTTGACTTATGATACAACCCCATTATAGAAGAATATCTGTACTCTGCTTGACCATGGGCTTTGGCAGGTGCATCTACCAGGTGACCATGAGAACTGAAAAGTGAAGGTACAAAGTCTGGCTACCAGTGTTGCACTTTGCTCCTTTTGGTCTTTCTAAGTTTCCTTCACTTGCTCATACAGCAAGACCAACTGTGTGCTTATTGCTGCTGCTGCTCTGACCAGGGCAGGGCATTTTGCATAATTGTGTTTACCCTCATCACAACCCTCAAAGGTGGTTATCACCAACGATCCCATTTTATAAGTGGGAACCTTGCTCAAGAAGGCATAAGAACTTGGCCAGGCTGTCATAACCAAATTGAAAGCCTGGGCACTTATTGGTCACTGTGATTTCTGCCTTGTCAGTGTCCTGCACAGGTGCCCAGTCTATATTTGATAGAGACATGTGTGTACCAATAATCCAAAGGGTTTTAACATGTGATTTGTAAATGCAGTTAAGCTCACATAGACAACAAGAAGGAGTGCAGCAATGAAATTAATGTTTTAGGAAACAGACATTACCAAAATACAAGTAGTGTCAACATTACTAAAATACAAGTAAGTATTTGAATGAAACTTGCTGGAAGGGGAATGGATGCTCTTACACAGTCAGTTGGCCAACCTTCCAAGGCCCTTCTAGTTCAAGGATACCTGACTTTGAATCAGGGTTCAAAAGTCAGGAAGACCACAACAACCATTTAAACATCCTCACTTTGGTTGGGCTCTGAGGTGATAGCATGAGGTACGATTTTTCACTACAATCTGATCACCAAGCTCAAACCCTAATCTGGTCAAGGCCAACCCTGAAGGTGCAAGTCAGCAGGTGGAAATTCCCAAACAAATGACAGAAAACATCAAACTGTGAGAGGGAAGGTGGCACAGAGCCCATACCTCTCTGTTATCAATTGTTTGGAGACAATGACCAGATCTCATTGCTGACCTAAGTTGGGGGCCAGGTTATTCCATCACCTGCTTGCCACTCCTGGTCCTTCCTAGAGCCTACTGCAAATTGCCCTTAGTCCAACTACTGGATTAGGAAAGATACTGACTGTTGTATGAGCCTCTTACATAATCAACTCGTGGTATCTTCATCCCCAAACATTACCCGTACTTAAAACTAAACAAGAAATTCAAGAAAAATCTATCATGGTAATATCAGCAGAGTATCACCAGTATTTAATTGTGAAATCAGTTAGTGCAGTTATAATACAACCATCCTATGTGTCCACAGAAGCCAGCTCAAGAGGCCCAGTAACCCATGGTGCCAGGGGAAAGGGGAGGCAAGGAGAGCATTACTGCTAATTCTTCACTCCCCCCTCATTTAATTAGGGGCTTCTGCAAATTGGTGGGCCCAGCAGGTATAATCACAGCAGCTCCTATCTCCTGAAAATTACCTCAGTGGTGACACTGTATTCATTGACACGTGCAATCTAGCATCCCGGAATACTGTGGGGACAGGTCACTCTCACATGTCTGTTTTATATACAGGAATCCATGGCATGCTAATCTCTTGCCTTGTCTAAGTGGGGTGCCACAAAGGGGATTCACAGCCCCAGGGCACAACTGTGGACACGGCACTTGGCTTCCACGCTAGAGAGAAATGAGGTTTTCCTCTCCCACGCAGTTAGCATTGAGGGAGAGGCAGCTCCCAGCACTGACAGCAGGCCACAGCCTGGAACAGCATTCTCTGCTACCCATCCTGCTTTCCCAGCTCAGGTGCTGACGTGGCCCTCATCACTGGGGATGCCACAAGGAAATGCAAGGGGAGGGGCCTTTCCTGGGCAGCATTTAAAAAAAAAGAAGGAAGAAAATGTGCAAAGCCCAATGAGGCTGATTGGTTAAACATGGGTTAGAATTGAGTTTAGAGAACCACACAGTAACTCGGTGTCTGGACAAATCCAAACCCCTTGGGTGAAGATGTGAGCGAAAGGCATTTCTGTCTGTGGAAACAGGATGCGTCCCTCTTTCTTTTGGTCTGCAGACCAAATCTGGACCCATCCATCCATCACTTTAGGTTGCCCAAGTATTTTCATCTTCCCAATGAATAACCAGTATGGGGGGTGTCTAAGGATCCCTTTCCCACAGCCAATGCCAATCAGCCCCATTCTCCCAGGGGTTCAGGATGCTCCGAGCAGACACTACCAGCAGGACATGCCACACACAGCAAGTCACCAAACCAGACCATGGGAGGGGTTGGTCGCACTTACTTGTACTTGTGCTGGTTCCGATTGTATTGATTGTGGTGGGGACGGATGAGGAGGAGTAGAGGGGCACGTGGCCGTTCTCACATCCCAAGTTTTTGTCCTGCCAGTTGGAGGCGCTGATGCAAATCCCAGAATCCCGCGAGTTCTGCCACCCATTGAGCTTGTCGTCGGAGTTCTGTCTTTGGTGATAGTAGCGCGTCTGCTCATAATCCGCAGAGTCTGAGCGGCCTCGGGTCTGGCCACCGAAGCCAGCTGCTGTGCGGTCCTCCAAGTGGTTCAACCACATGGCCAGAGCACTGCGGTCCTCCAGCGAGGTGGCTGGGTGTATCAGAGCATAGGACAGCAGCTGCCTGCTCTCCTCGATGTGCTGGTTGTGTTCAATAGAGTGCGCCAGGATCTGGGGCAGCAGTTTCATATACTCAACTTTTGCATCAAGGTTTCCTGGCTTCAGCAAAGGCAGGTGAGTTAACAGGAGGGAAATCACTTTATCCTTGGATTCCTGTTGCCATTGGTTAATGATTCCTGCGAAAGAAAATATGAAGAGCAAATAAATAAGCAAGCACACCCACAATGACATAAAACACCAAGCTCAAAAGAAGATTAGAGAGTGAATCTATACATCCTGGCTCAATCGTTTTAAAATGGCCTTGTCTCTCAGACTGGTTAACTGACCTGAAGTGTTCCAGAGGCACAAGGACTTCCATGAAACCACAAGACCAAAATTATTAGATGGCTGGGGTCTTGACCTAGCCCTCATGTGTGTGTCCCATTTCATTCAACCAAGTGAGACCTTCAGCCCTGTTGTATGTATTAGAAGAATCTAGCTCCAACCTCAGCAAGATGAGGCTCAGACTGAGACATCCCCATAGCAAAGCAAGCGTTATGATGCGTGCTGAGAAACATTTCAATCACACAAAGGTGATTCGTCAAATTTCCTAGGCAGGGAGCCTTCTGGGGTGCAAAGCCTGCATCTTTCTCCTAAGTGGCCAACTCCAAAGGTGAACCTTGGGCTCAAAGCCAGCATGAACGGTGTACTCAAGACAGGACTCTGGGGAATTGCCTGATTACGTGCTATGCAAGCTTAGCACCAATGGAAATCTGGCATTTTCTTTTTAACTGTTTTTTTTTTAAAAGATTTATTTTTATTGGAAAGGCAGATATACAGAGAGGAAAGACAGAGAAGAAGATCTTCCCTCCGATGATTCACTCCCCAAGTAAGCACAATGGCCGATGCTATGCCGATCCCAAGCCAGGAGCCTCTTCCAGGTCTCCCACGCGGGTGCAGGGTCCCAAAGCTTTGGGCTGTCCTCGACTGCTTTCCCGGGCCACAGGCAGGGAGCTGGATGGGAAGCGGGGCTGCCAGGATTAGAACCGGCGCCCATATGGGATCCCGGGCGTGCAAGGCGAGGACCTTAACCACTGCGCCATCGCACTGGGCCCTTTTTAACTGTTTAAAATAATGCAATATTGACCTCTTTAGCCATTTTTAAACATTCTGTTTAGTGGCATTAGACACGATCACAGTGATGTGAAACTACTACTAGCTTCTATCTCAAGTTTGTGCATCTGCCCAAACTTAACACTAACTTCCTCCTTCCCTGCCCTCCCCAGCACCCACCAGCCACCACTCTGTTTTCTGTCTCGGTAAGTCTTAGTATTGCAGAGAAGTGGAATCACACACCATGTGTCATTTCTTGGCTGTTGTATTTCCCCGAGCATGGTGTCCTCAAATTTCACCCATGTGAACATCTGTTTCTAACTCAGAGCATCCTTCCCACTCAAAACACAATGATGGTTGTCTTGATGGGGCTTTCAAAAACATAACAAAACAAAAAAAACTCTCCCAAATCCTGGAGACCTTCATTTTGGCTCACGAATGACCCTACACGGCTAGGCTTGGCAGTCCTGTTGGTTTTATACAGTGTCTACAGGGTTTGAAGGGGGTTTCTGGAGTTTAGCAGAAGGACTTCATTCTTGTAATCAGATACAAACATCACAACACAAGCCCTAGGCTTGCAGTTGACCAGAAGTTACCAAGGCCCCTGTCTGGACTTCAAGGCCTCTGAGTTCTACAGGAAAGAATGCTATCAAAAGAGGAGCTTCAGCAGAGAAAGCAAGGGCTCGAATGAAAGGGCATGGGCTTTGAACTCAGACAAGCCTGGGCACAAATCCCAGATCTGCCACTTAATTTGTGGTGGAACCTTGGTAAGACACTTCATTTCTCTGGGCTTTAAGTGCCTCCTTAGTCAAGAGTGGTACAGATAGCATCTGCCTCTCCTCCCACTGCTGGATTTGTAAGAGGCAGAGGGTCCATCCTGTACTGAATGACGGAAGTTACCCCTTTCAGCTCTCTACATGAGGTAGACCCACACAAGTAGCCCCACATGGGTGGGTCTGGATATCAAGTTTAAAAAATCATACAGAGAAACTAGAGCACACCTGGGAGATTGTTTAAAAGAAAATTACACATCAGTTGGAAATCAAGTAGAAAGCTAAAAATGAAAGGGTTATTAAGCTGAGAGTAACAGGAGATGCACAGCTCCCTTCAAGTGGGGATTTTCTAAGGAGAGGCTGAAGAGCTGATATCAGAAACAGAGTTCTTCAAACAGAAGCACGAACGATTCAGATGAGATGAGGAAGAGAATTGCAAGATTAAAACGATCAAACACTTGGAGGTGCTACCAAGGCAGGCTAAGGGCTCAACTCGGGAGCTTGAACAGAACATCACGAGCTGTAGCAGCACTGTCCAATGGTAACACAATGTTGGCCACATGGGAAGTTTGCAACTTACCAGTGGCCACACCGGGAAATGAAAAGAACAAGGTGAAGTCCATCTTAAAGTTATTTAACTCAATACATCAAAATATCATCGTTTCAACATGTCACCAATATAAAATTGGTTCCAATATGGGATCCACAGAAAAACAGGAGTCTTTATGGAAAATGGGTTATTATAAATGAAAACCTATGTGTGAGTTTTAAAAACGTGTTTGCCACTAAATCAACTTGTCTTTTGATGCCAGTTTTCACAAGTTTTTGAGAAAGGGAAATGAGGGGAAGAAAGAAATAGAATGGAGATATAAGCGGGAAGAAAATCTGGTGAGGGGGTTCTCACCTACTGGTTCATTCTCATGCCAATCTGAAACTGGCATCTGGAAACTAACTCCAGGTCGCCCACCTGAGTGGCACAAACCCAAATGCAAAAGCCATCCCTGCTGTTTCAAGGCCCACATTACCAGGAGGCTGCAGCCAGAGCTGGTAAGGAATTCCGGTCCTCCAATAGGGCACACGGACATCCTCACAGCTAGACCAAACACTCAGCCCTCTGAACTTTTAGAAATTCTCTGGTGAACTTACGAACGAGGCCACGTACTTTATTTTGTTGTGTATCGAGTATTTGAAATCCGAGGTGTGCTCCTTCCCTGGGAGCACATCTAGCCACAGCTACAGGCTAACCAAGCCGGAAACACTGACAGGGAAGGCAGGCAGGAGGCGATGACCTCTGCAGGTGCCTCCCAGCAGCTCCCTGGCGCTAAATTTAGCTAATTGCCACCCAACGACGCAAGACAACCACCATGTATTCCAATAGGAATGATCTCCCTCTTAAAGCAACTCCGATGGGAAGAAAATGCAGATCATAACTTCCTTAGCAACACATATTCAGCAGACACCAGGCATGTTCTAAATGGTGGATATGCTTCAGATGGAGACAAAAATCAATTCATTGAAGCCTGTGGGGCATTGGGAAGAGGCCAAAGGGGCCATGAGGAAGATCAGCCCCGTGTAACACACACACAGATCAGAGATGGCGAGGGGATGCCCCTCCAACAACCATGCTGAAATATGAAAACCTGGGAACAGCATTTAATTAAAGCACTCACAACTGTGGAACTCCCTAGCTCTCTGCTAGGTCATTTCCCTGTTTGGTTATCCTGCCATTCTGCAAAAGGTGAGCCTAAAAGAAAACAAAAAAATATTAAAAAAAAAAAAAAAACCACTACCGAACAAAAACAAAATGTAAACAGGGCTCGGAGTGCAGAGTGAACATGTTATCTCCAGGTAACCCTTCTCAGCCAGGGATTAAAGGAAGGACCCAGCAGCTAAGAGGAAGGAAAGTGAGGGGCTGAGCCACTGTTGGTCCCTCCGGGGGGGGATGAAGCCTGGGAGGAAGGGCTCTTCTGGGAGAAGGGCTGGCTGCCCTCACACCCACCACCCCTGCCAGCTGACATGACTGGCTGTTGGCAGTGTGCCAGACTCTGTGTGTCTGATGGCTTCTTCAACCCTCCCAAGTGTCCATAAGGTTCAGGCATCCACCCTGGGATGCCGTTTGTTACAGAACAAACAGGTCTTGGAAAAGTTCATGCAAGTATTTAGACTGGCAGAGTGACTTGTCCCGGCTCCCCTCGCTAGCAAGGTGACAACATGAAGGAAAGCTAGTGACCAGAAAGACACACACACTGGACTAGAAGGCTATTAATACTTGTTAAATATATTAATTATATAGAATGTACAAGGCTATGGCAAAAAGTTGTAGAAAAGGGAATCGCTAGACAAGTTTATATTGGTGCAATTATATATCATTAGTATAATTAAATAAAATGCGCTTAAGTGTATAATGGTCATAAACATAACTAATAGACACTAAATATGAAAATTGAGAGTGCATGGTATTACAATATATGGGAAAACGGGGGGGGGGGTTGGAAAGGGAAATCCCTGAGTCTAAAGAAGTGTGTCATGAAAAATAAGGAGTTGGAAAAAAAAAAAGAGTACATTGATCAGGAGAGGAGTCAGGTATGGAAATGTGAAAAAAGGAGTTAGAGGGTTTGGTGCTGTGGCATAGCGAGTTAAGCTGCCACCTGTAGTTTTAGTATCCCATATGGGTACCAGTTCAAGTTCCAGCTGCTCCACTTCTTCCAGCTCCCTGCTTATGCACATAGGACAACAGTTGGAATACGGCCCAAATGCCTGGGCAATTATACCCACTTGGGAGACCCAGATGAAGATATCGGCTCCTAGCTTTGGCTTGGCCCAGCCCTAGCTGTTGCAACCATTTCAAGAATGAACCAACAGATGGAAGATGTCTCTCTTTGCAACTCTTACCTTTCAAATAAAATAAGTATCTTTGGAGGGAAAGGGAGCTAGAGACCATGCAGGTGAGACTTCCTGTGGTTCGAAACAGCTGCTCACAAACTTCAACATGTCCCTCTGGGCAGCACAGGTTTCTGTCCCTTGCCCTTCCCATTGAGAGCAGGCTGCATGGACTGAGTCCCAGCCAGCAAGCAGCATGTAGCAGAAAGGACAGCATGATTTCACGGGTTAGCTTAGACAAGGGATTGCAGGCTTTCCCTCCTTCTTTCCTGGACTGGCTGACTCACAGGGAAGCCAGCTGCTGAGCTAAAAGACAAGCTGCCCAGGAAAGAGGCCCTGAGAGGGAAGATCTGAGACCTCCAGCCTCTCCCAATGGCCCAGGGGTGGGAGGGGGCCATGGGAACGCATCTAACAACAGCTCTGCGGGCTCC